AAATGATTTATTTTTTCCATTTTTTACCCATTTTTTCGCTCTAAATTGAAAATTTGCCCAGGATGATTCTATTTTGATTCGTTCGTCAGCGACTCAAAATACATAAGACTAGCTGGGTCTCCACTCCAGCACAGAGTACTTTTTTATTGTGAGTTTGTGTTATTAGTAATTTAAATGATACACACTGTTAGTGTGATAGAAGAATGCTCGCTGTTTGTTTGTTAAAAGATATATTGAACTGGAAAATGTATTTCACCATAGTCTGTGTATTCTGTATTTTTAGCTTTTTTTGTAGGAATCATTACGGTCACGATCGACTCGTCAGTACCGCAACATTGATTGCACATTTATATTACAAACAACATCTGCATTCTTGAGCGAATTTCTTGAGCGGCAACAATATTTGTTTGCACAATTTGTAGAGTCCGAAACGAAGACGAATGTCCGTAATTTATGAGTTGCGATTTGCAATGCAAAAAAGAGTGGTGGATGGAGATTCGGCGTTGTCGTTTCATTTCGTCTTCTCGACATTTCGTGTTTATCCTCGACATATTGCGTCGCTCGAATAACGATGAATCATTTAGCGAGCCGTGTTCGCCACTACCGACTCTTAATCGAGTCTTTCCGTAGGAAGCAAGACGGTAATCTCTCTCCGAAACTTTCCGCGAAACTTGGAGATTTATCGGGGAAATAATTTATTTGCCCTATGGCAAGAACGGCGGATGGTTGTGTCGCGTCGTGCCAGGACGTTGCGATTTTCATCCCTCTTCACTCCCCGCCAAAGTGCTTTGATAGTCAATATGAATCTGCAATTAATTCCGTGTCAGCAGCGTGCGCATTTAAAAGAGAAATATTTGATTTAACATTCCTATAATCCCCCTGAAATGATGCAAATATTCATTCTCTCAATATCTGCGTAATTAATATGTAATTTCAAACACTTTTATAACTCGACGTACAAAATAGATGTAAAACGTGTGATTGTGATAATCGAACACATATCTACGAAAACAGAATTCAAATTGGTTGCGATATTAAAGTCACACAACTTCCCACGCTGTTGTTAGAATTCTAGACATTCGGCTCGTCACGTGTTTTATCCATTGGTATCGAAGTACTTCGGTGTGATTCTGCTTACCGTATGGTTAAATGTTATTTCAATTACGACACGTTTGATGTCGTCTGGCGCCGGTTTTACGGTCACCGGTAACCGTAAAACCTTAACGGCTGTGAAATCTAAGCGGCGATAAGGTGGCGCGTAGAAACGCCGTTTATACGGTCCAATCGGCCGGAAATCAATTCATCGACGAACTCCCCCGTGCTCGATCACAACGATAACTTCTTTGTTTTGTCGAACGGTTACGTTGCATTTATCATCACATATTGACCATTCAATGAAGTGTTCAATGCGTAGCGTGGTAGCGGTTAACATAATAGCAATTCTCTCTACGACACGTGGTTGCGAACTTTGGTCCAAGAAGAACGACTTGAAAGAAGAGTTTTTTCGGTTTTGTTCGGTTTGGATTGGATTCTGCTTTAAAACATTATATATTTTATGAAAATAACTAGAAGACTGAATAATTTCGATAATGTAATAGTTATAATATTTTCACGAATGCATGTAAAAATGCAAAATTATCGGAATTTGAGCTGTTGTAAATTTAAAAAGCAATAAATTGACCACGTGAACAATCTTTTGATACGGCTTTTTCAAACAAGTATACATAGAAAATTAAAATCAATGTAGTTACAATAATTCGTCGAAATTTAATAATTTTATTTTATTTTTTTAAGTATTATATTTTTAAGTATTTTATTGAAAAATCTACGTCTGTTTTCCTTTTCCCTCATACTTTTGACATCAGCGCTCTACGCTAACGATAGTCGCACATTTGGAAACTATTCTTCATATTCTACATTGAGATTTTGATCGCCGCAGTTTGATGCTATATTTTTCATTGCTTCCGATCAACAGAAAAACAAAAACATTCCACTCCCGCTCATCTCTCTCTTTCCCTCTTTCTCCGATTTTACTTTACGCACGATGTATGCACGCGGTACATTGTTGTATAAAAAAAAAAAAAAAAAAAGGAAGGGGGCGCACAAATGGAATATTCGTGTTGTTAAATCCGGAGGCCGTTGGATTTTCATCGTACGCGATGAAACCTGAATACGTCCCCATGCATTCGAATCGATTCTCGGTTCTTTTCACCGTTTGGAAATCGGTCGTCTCTCGTTATCGGCAGTTTCGAGCGGTTTATATTCACGTGTAACTGTGCGAATCGAGTGAAAGCATTCCTCTCTCTTTCTCGTTTCGTCTCACGGGATGTTTCTCCCGCCTCTTTCCCGTTTCCCACCCGCTTCGACTCATTACGATTTATTATGCTCGTTATCAACCCGAGTCGCGCGTTACGCGTCCGCGTAATTTCGCGTGGATATCCACTGGATTGAGTCGCCAAACGACGCTTCAGATCGCCGTACTCGCTTCCACGTGCGCTCCCGCGTTAATTAGAATTTATGACGAGTGCACTTTATCACCCGCTAAATTTAGCCACGAGTTTTGCGCGAAAATCGTTTCCGTGCGCGCGACACCGAAATTGCGCTTTTTTGCGCGATTACAGTAAATCGTTTGCCAATTAGCGCCATTCATGATATCGAGATAATCTGTATTATCTGCTACAGTGGTGGAATTGTGTAGATCAATTATTTAAATATTCACACTGTACAGGTACGTTTAATTGTTCACAGTTATTTAAAAAGTCATTTTTAAATCACTATGAAGAAAATTATAAAAATCAATATTTATATCATTTGTAGATTTGTTTCTGATTTAAGATTTTATATTTTTCTTAAATCATCACTTTTTTGTTGTTATATATAAATATTTTGCGAAAAGTTAAAGAGACATTGTTGTAAATATAAATAAAAGATTCAAGCAAGATATTAGTGTGTACATAAATTACTTTATAGAGTACTATAGAGTAATAATTTTGAATTATCTGATAGAGTATATTGACTGATTGTAATGTATACAAAGATAATTGTAATGTATGCAAACAATCGTGAAATATCAATATTATATTTTTTTAGATATGATAATAAAATCGTTAAAAGATCATGGATAAGACCTAATAAAGACAAGATAAATTGCGCATCCCTCAAGCTAGTTTAAAATGCAATCGCTTGAATTAAATACGTCGACGGTTTAGCTCTATCGTAAAGCGCATTTTATCTGCCGCTTCTGCGAGGCAGCTCTCAAAGCCTATTTCGAGCAGTTTGCTCGAGGGTTTGTTTGAATCCGTCCGGTCTGCTTCTCGTCAATTCTAGAAGGAATTCTCGTATTCGAGGCTCGCGAGAATGCAATCTTCATCATGGAACTTTCAATTTCCCAGGACCGATTCTGACGCTTCTGCGGATATCGCAATTGTTTGTTTCTATTCTCGACATGGAAATCAGAATTTATACGAAGTGTTGTTCAGATTTTTCTTGAAACTACCTGGAAGAATGAGAAGCGAAAGAAAAACGAGCTTAAAGTTTGAAGAAATTGCGTTCTGCAAAGTCTCACTTAATTCTACAAGTCTTTAATTGTCATTAATAACGTAGGAAGATTGATTTTATTAAATATTTCGAGTCGTTTATTTTCAATCTATAAAGCAATATCTGAAATATAAATATATGAAGTTTATCTTGAATTAATACTTGATGAATCATAATTAAATTATTAATAGGAATATTATTCTTGACCTAAATATGTCTGATTGTATATCTGGTTACATGATTTATTCTTTTATGAACAATATTTACGTTTAGTACGATTTATTGATAAAGAATACTGATCTGTATGCATATAATTCGCTGATTGCAGGTCGCAACGAGCTGATCGCCCGTTATATCAAATTGAGGACCGGTAAGACGAGAACGCGAAAACAAGTATCCTCGCATATACAGGTTCTCGCGAGAAGAAAACTTCGGGAAATACAGGCAAAACTTAAAGTGGTGAGTATATATTTTATCTCCCAGTTGTGCGCTTATTTTTATATTTCTATCATCGTTTTTTTTTTTAACCTTTTTCAATCACACCGAACCTACCCATCGACGTTGTGCGTCTCGATCGCGTTTCTTGCCTCTTTCGTGGAGGGACAACCAATAAATTCATTCGAAATGATATAAATTTTGTTTATTTGTATAAATACGACATATTGTGACTACTAAAATAAACTGTAACAGCGGTTTAACATGACACGTTATTATAATAATGAAATGCGAAATAACGATTGTACGATTATTAATTTAATAATATCGCAATACTTGATGACACGCCGTATCATTTGATAATATATTGAATAAAATGTTGCACGTGTCGTATGAACGCGATACTTGGCACGTGGAATTGATATTTGAATCTCATGTGCGGTGAATTTTTATTTCTCTTTGAATTGTGTAGCTGATATATTGAAAATTTAATAGCCAAATTCGTTGAGGCAAAATGATAATTGCATAATTGTGTATTTTTTAAATTTTATTTTTTATATTTATTAAATAATAATGTATAATTTTTTAAATATTATCTTTTATATTATTAATTATTAAGTGATATATTCTGTTAATGAAAGAAACAAAGAATATTACTGAAAGAAGATAATTAACAAATTGTTTCTTTAATTTTTGTTATTTCTTTAAAAATTTTAAAGACAAAAAAGATATTTAAAAAAAGATGTCTACGTATGGGAGAAAATTCATTTTAATTCATTTCAATGATGTCGATATAAAAATATTCTTTCCCGTAATGTTCATTATTTCTTCCTTTTTTGTTTTAATAAATTTTAATATAATTAATAATACATGGATTCTCTCGATACGAATTAAAATTCTGCATGTAAAAGATTTCTTTACTAAACAATATTTTTTACAAACAATCGAATGCTCGATCGAAACGTTCAGCGTTGAGATAATCAGAATTTTGTTGTATTCGCGTTTTACACAATGTTGTCTCGATGAGTAGTAGTGATGATATTAAATCGTGATTGGCGATATGTGAGCATTAACGGGCGATGGCCGTTGTGGAATCATTTTCAACGAGAGAGAGAAATATACATATCAAGGGATACACATATCGAGAGAAGCAATGCGTGGGATAAATCACGCGTAAAAATGAACCTTGCCCGTTTAATCAACAGCTGAATTATTAAAGCGATTCGCGAACAATTGCGTGCCGGTTAATAAATCAAAGCAGAGCGGTACAATCGGTGGTGCCTCCATTTCACCGATGGGCGGTGAAATAACGGGAGACAGAAGACATGAAAGAGAGAGAAAGACAAAGGAGGGAGAGAGGAGAGAGAAAGAGAAAGAGAAATAGAGTATTGTTTATACTGGATCGGTCAATATTCGGAATAGAAAAGAGTGGAAAAACAAGCGGAACGTGTAAATTAACCGTGCGATTGCATGCAGCACTCTGGTAAAACTCTCGTTCGTAGAAAAAAACTGCCATTTAATCGACGACGATAAACCGAAATTTTTTTCGGATATTTTACGCAATCTAGACGTTATTATTAAATAGACGGATGATGAAATATAATTTATAGCGTTTATATATCCGTCTTCTTTTACTATCAAGAATTAATTGATAGATATAATTAATTATTGCGTAAATGTATTACTCGGTTCTCCGATATTGATATAATTAGCAAAATTCAATGAAAGATTCTGCGATTTGAAGCGATTGTAATATAACCATAATCTTTTTTTTCACAAATAACACTTTCAGGACAAATAAAAGAATATTGATCGTTTTTACTTTTTATTAAATTTAACTTTTTATTTCAAGTGAATTGTAATCCAGTTTATCTATGTTCAGATTTAGCAAAGACAATTGATTACAATAAATGCTTATCAGCATTCTTTCATAATCTTCTTTTAAATGTAAATTTTTGACACGTTTCATATATGATACTATCTTGCATGAGTAATTTTGCATGTAATGTATTGTATAATATCTTTATTTTTCCGCGTTGTCATTTTTATATTCCATTGTACCTGGGCTCTTAGAGAGTTTAGGACTCCCAAAGAGTTTAGGAAAACGCCGGCGTTTCTCGAGCAATTTAAATTACGCTCGTGCACTCACGACTTTCGCGTAATAAGATGTCGTCTGTTTCCGCGCGCGCGGTTTCGTGCCACGATGCCATTTATGAAATACTTGCGCGGGTTTCCGTTTTTAAGCACGGTCAGCCGCAGCTGCAGCGACTGCAACTGCAGTGGCCGCATACCGCGAACATTATTCAGGAAAGTAGCAAGCGTGGGAGGGTGGAGGTACGGTCCGCCGTGACGTAATTTTCTGGTTTTCGCGTTTCAGGAAGGGTGAATGCTGCACCACGCCGCGACTTTTGCTCAGGTGGGGTTGCTATTTCCCTTCCTGCGGCCGCGAACCGTGCGATTTATTCGGTCAGAGAAGAAAAGAATTTCGCGAGCGATGTTCGTGTTTCCTACGCACCGGTACTGTCTTATGTAAATCGTGCTCTTTGCTTTCGTATTATATTTTAACAAGATAATATTAATTTAAAGGAAATTGTTTATGTTCATTGAAATTTGTAACTAAATTGATTAAAATAAATGAGAAATCGTAAGCATTAGAGATATCTACTAGAAAAAATTTTGTCGGCCTTTTTTTTAAAATATATAAATTTTATAGGATATTTGATATTAATAGATTTATTATGAATAAATTAAGAATAAAAATGGAAATTACTTTTTTAAATTTTAAGACCGCTTATTTTATACTTTTAAAATCATTTATCCATACATTTCCACTGTAGATAATAGAAATAATGAACGGACTTTAAGATCAACTTGAATTTTTTTCTTATTTTATAGTCAATTTTACAATAAAACTATTCAATTTTTCAGTTAAATAATTTGTCTTCAGTTAAATAATAATTTTTAATTTTAATTTCATCGTCTTTTTTTCCGACTTTTTTCCGATTCTTTTTTATATATTTATATCATTTTCTTTTATATTAACGATGTATATTTCATTTCATGAAATCGTAGATTTGATTTAACTTTTCTGCTTGTACATTTTACATGCTCGCGTATCAAACCGATATTACACCAACTATCATAATCTATCGAGATTGTCCGTCGTTTTATCTATTTTGGAAATAATTGCACCAGGCATTACGGCGTAATTAATTGTTGCGGTGTAAACGTACTCCCGATAACGGGGCAGGAGTTGTAGTAGTAGGAGCGGGTTGCGGGAGGGTGCCCAAAAACGGGCGAGCAACGTTTCAGAATGTCGATAAACATGTCCAACCCCGTTACCCGCCCAATCCTCTGCATTCCTGGCGTGTATTCGAGAGATGAAGGGCGAGAGAGAAGTAGACAGAGAGAAAGAGAGTGAGAGAGAAAGAGAGACAGAGAGAGAGGGGGGGGGCGACATGTGGGACGAAGAGTGGAAATTAAAAAAAACGACATGGATTGTACCCTCTCAATTAACCGAATTGATTTTCCGCTGCAAATTCAGCGCGCGCTCCGCACAAACGTGAACAACGGCCCGCACAGCGAAATGGACTTTTCGCGGGTAATCGATGTCATCCAACATTCATAAAAAATTACATTCTATCCGGTGAAATTCGCGCAACCGTTTTGTAAATCGACTTTACGCGCCGGTTAATCTCACCAATTCTGATGTTGCGTCGATTACATTGCAAGGTATTTCGGATAAAAGTTAAGTAATCTTCTAGAAAAATAATAATGATTTTGGAACGAATTTGATAACATCATATCGTTTTTGTATATTGTAATTCAAGAGAATTAAATATTGTATCCTAGGTTAAGCTGCTACGAGTTTGACAAAAATAAAATAATTAAAAATACATATTATGAAAATTGTAGTAGAAAGACCCCGAAAATCGTGTAATGAATATGTATTGTAACTTGGCCGCATTTTCCAAATCTTTCTGACTTTAGCTCGCGAAAATTGAGATTATTTCATTTTAATAATAGAATTATCAATAGAAGTACAGAAATTTTAATAGTGTTTACCTTACATTTCTATTTTCAACATCACAGTTATTTAATATTTCATTAATTAGAACAAAGAACTTTCTTTACCAGATTTGTCTATTAATTGTCTTATACATAATAAATTTTATTAGGATGTTAACAAATAAAATTAGTTACAGAAAGAGTTATTTGCTTTTATACTAAAATCGTATAGAAGTAAGTTGCTTATATAATGAATGATTGTATTACTTTTTTGCTTATTAATTTTTCTATCTCATACTTATTGTTTAATTTAGTTGAGCTATTACCGCCAAGTAAAAAAATTTATGGTAATTAAATTTATTTAACGTTGGATCTTTTTACTGAAATTGTTGTTTGAGATTTAATTTTAATTTATATTATATATGTATTTGCTCAACATCAAATCGTAATTATCGCATTTTTAAGTTTAAGACAAATGCCTTACTAGACTTTAACTTTTAAAAGTCATAAGTTTTAAATTAAAATTTTATTAAAGCAGAGTCCATGTAAAACTAACTGAGAATTAACATTTGTATTATTAACTATTTGTAGTTCCATGGTTCTCTCTCATACAATCCGGGGCGAGCTTTTTATTTTCAACTATTTCCAAGTTAGGAATACACATTGATATATACACATCGACAATTTCATTAAACAAAATTCGCCTGCAAATTGATCGAAAAATCCGTAGGTAATAGGAACAGCGGCGTCGGCTTTTCGGGATACTCACCCTGTGTATTTCGAAGCGAACACGCGAGGGGCGTAAACAACGTCGAGAGCAAAATGTAACCCGTGATTTTCGGTCGCACCGTCGGCTAAATTCTTTATTGCTCGCATCGTTACGCGGGTGGCGCTTCATTCCGGTCGACCGGCACTCGTAGTGACTCCTCCATTACGGATTTATGAACGAAATTGAAAATCCCCGTGCTCTCGTGGGAATGAGGGTGAGAAAGAGAGAGAAAGAGTGAGACGAATGGGGATGAATCGGTGTGGGACTGGATGATGGTGGTGGCGGTGGGCATGGCAATTTTCCGAACGTCACGGCAACGAACCACCTCTCGTTCGCCTCGTCAGCGATTTTCGGTCGGGCGCTGATTAAAACGACGGCTTTCCGATAAAAGCGCGCCGAATTCCCGCGAATTTCTGTTGCAACCGGATTCGCCGCCGCTGCTGTTGTTTCTGCAATCAACTGCACTGCGCGATCGCGATCGATTTCATCGCATGCGGTGCGACCCGCGATGAATGAGGGACCGGGGAAAAAAAATATCAGGGGGAGGTGGGAGATAGGGAGAAAAAAGGGACGCTGGTAATCGCGCGTTCGGGAGCGGTAAATTGATTCGCATCATTGAGAATGTTACGAATTTATCCGCTGACTGTTGATTGATATCGCGATTCCCAAATGTCTCGAATTTTTTTATTTTTCGAACCACATTGCGTTTGTCCTTCCACGAAGTGAATAATTATAATTGTTTTAAAAATACGCACTACGATTCACAGAAATATTGAAAGATTAATCAATTCACGTATAAATTTCTGTATTAAACATTTTCACAATTTTGTTTTGATTGTACATATACATATTTTATTATTCAGCGGTTTATATTTTTACAAGAAACGTATTAATCTGTATTAATTATTTTGTAGAAATTAAATTTTTTTTTAATAGTTCGAAGTCGATTTATCTTAATCCTAATCAATTCGTTGAGATACCAGTAACATTTTTGACTTTAATTCAACGAGTTTCTGCTTTCTTAGAATAATATATGTGTATTCACAGTTCATTTATACAGATGTAGAAAATATAAATTTCTGAAGGTACGAATATTAGAAACTTGATTTTTGTCGAAATATTTTCGAAAGAGAAATCTATTCTGAGTTTAAAGATCGTTCCTGAGACACATGTTAACGTATTCAAAGAAAAAGACAGACATAGTGGTGACAATTATACAAATATTATATGTTTCCTATATCCTAATTCTCACCACTATAAAAAATTTTTTTTTTCTCCGAGTGCGTATCTGTATTAATGTACCAATCTATAAAATCTATTTAGTCTCGAGTCCTCGTCATAGTTTAGAAAGGGGATCATATATTGATAATATGATACCATATTGTCTGGCATTGCGTGATAATCGGTCTGGAAATTTGTCAGGATCATGCCGCCAAGGAGAAAGCGCTCCAGACAATGTCAAGCATGTCAAGCGCCCAAATAGTATCAGCTGGAAGCGCGATACACAACAAGATGCCCCTCATGGGCGGGACCCTTGCCCTTCATGCTTCCACCCCTGTCTCCTATCCCGGAGCGGTAAGTCCTGATCTCGGAGAACCCCTTAAGACATTTTTTTAATCGGTCTTTCTCTTCAAAACAGCCACGAGCTTTAGGGTGAGACGACTCTATAAAATGCGAATTAATTAAGTTAATCACTGCATTGGTGATTTCGCATGACGAATCGCTTTTAAGTAAAACGAACGGCCTCATTCTCTCTCGCTTTTATAATCGTTGCATTGACTTTTAAATTGTGAATTTTCTTCAATCGATTTTTACATATAAAGCACTGTACTCCTTATTGTTGTCAAAGATCGATTTTATATTCTCTCTAGTGAAACTTTCCAGGCAAATATTTTAAAGATAACTTTTAAAATAGTTTATTTTCAAAAATTATATACGGATTTTTTTCTTTAAATGAAATCAAATTTCAGGCGATGAAAGAATTTGTACAAATATAAATGTTGATTGTTTAAATATAAAAGGTAAAATGAAATTTTTGTATGTGACTAGTGTCACTAGACTGTTATATGTAATTTTAAAATAAAATAGCAAATCCATTTCCGATTTATATTGATTTATATGATGTCATTCATATAATATCGATAGATTGAAAGCCTCGCAGGAAAAACATAAAATATTATCTTTGACGAATTTTATTTTTATTATCAGCATTGGCCTCTTCTTTTGAAGTTTGTGATTGTTTTCAAACGCTTTGCTCGATAACCGCTAATCCGCCTATTGAAGGCAATATCCATGGTTTGTCGACTGACCTATAAATTTTTTTTGTGTCTTACGAGAGTTTGAGATAATACCGTGTAATTAAAATGTCATGCCAGAGATATTATAAATGACACTAACTTAACATTGCACTTAGAGACAATGTACATTGGCAATTAATAAATCGTTTGATCTCAGTAAAAATATTCAATCTTAACTTTTGCACACAATGTAATATTAATTTAAATTATAATATATTACATTATAATTTAAATTTCTATGGCCATTGTTAAATATGTCGAAGATACGTTTGATGTTGAAACAAAATGATATATCTGCGAATAATGACAATTTGTTCAAAAATTGTTTGAAAAAAATTGCTTTCGTATCTTTAAATTGACTTAACTGTGTTGCTTCTATACTGAAAGAGTCTGTAATAGCTACCAAATGTTAAATGAAATAATGCCAATCAAACGTTCGGCTAATAATTAAAAATAATTTTACTTTTCCAAATATTCAATAAGTATTACCAAACATAATAATATAACCAACTTTGTTATATATATAATTCTTATTAAATATTTAAGAAAGTAAAATTATTATATTAACCAAACATTTAATTGGCTTTCAACATTTGACAACTATTAGAATTATTTCACTCAATATTTAACAACGATTACCAGACTTTTTTCTGTGTATCCTGTGTTTTATATGTATACAAGAAAGAAAAGGGGAAAAATAATATTAACTAATTAGAGGCGGTGAATAGCATTCCTTTTGTTTCTTTAATTAGATTTTCCGCTTTTTTTGCTGTCATGTTTTGTTCTTTTATGCTCTTTTTCGCATCTAATTATAAAATAAGAATGAGGAAAATAGCAAGAGAAAGCTGTTTCCGTGATCAATCGTGTACTTTCTTTTCTTCATAGCGCGAAAGCTTTTGCGTTGAAAACTAACAATCCCTCGCAAAAGTGACATCTCCCCTGGCTCTCTGCTGCTGCGCTGCCCCTGAGGGCCCTTGTTGTGTATTGTTGAATTTGTCCATCGCTCTAATCTTGTACATATGTATTCCTAGGCATTACATACCTATATACGACACGTATATATATTAAGTATGTATCCGTTACATTTGACATATCTGCATAATAAAAAAATGTTCGTTGTGGCTTATCAAACTTTCTTTCTCTTTACATAATAATACGATCATTAGCTTTTTGTTGTTATTGTCATTGTTGTTCTCTTTTACTTTGTGTTTATTCATTGTTTCCTATCGCTCATTCCTCGCCCGACGGCTCGATGGCTTTTACGGAAATTTTTTTTTACTGAAATAGTTGTAGTATTACATAAAGATTTACGTAAATACAATCGATTGTTCGGAAAAATTTTGAAAATGCAGGTTAAAAATTTTGTAAAAATTTTTCCATAGTTTAAGAGAAACGAATCTATCAATTTTTTTGCTTGAAACTATTAATTTTCAATTTATTTCCTTTGTATTTACTGTTATATGATTTTAGAAAAATCATGTTGTTACGCAAATTTGACTATTATTTGACTATTCGGTAACTAAAGCATCAATTATTCATTAAATAGCAATTAGCCATTATTAATAAACATCAGGCGAGTGGAAATCGACTAATCGTTAATATGAGAGTATCATCATTAGATACAAATTCGCGCTATACTTTCAGCAATTTTGGCAGCCAGGCCTGCAACCAGGAACGTCTCAGGATGTCAAACCCTTTCCTCAGCCTGCTTATACCGGAAAACCTGCGACAGCGGTCTCGAGCGGTGATTTGGTCCAAGCGCAGCCTGCACCACCATGGGAAGGACGTGCTATTGCGACTCACAAACTCAGGCTTGTTGAGTTTTCGGCCTACATGGAACAACAAAGAGAACAGGAGATTGTAAGCAGCATCGTAATTTATTAATTGAGAAGATTTCAAGATAGTCTAAATATATATTGCTTTTTACAAAAAAATACTGCAAAAGTGTCGTATACCTTTGAGAAATTTTTTTCAAGGATAAAATTTAGTATATTTATATTTTATTGATGTCTGATAAAAAAAAGAAAAATTCTCGAAAAATTTAAATATATCTTATATAATTAATAATAATTTAATAACATAATTTAAATATATCTTAAGTACTTATAATATAACTTTAAAGCATTATTATATAGATAATGATTCTTTATTTAATCTCAACTAGAGAGTGAGAGAGAGAGTAGAAATTAAAGTAGAAATTAAAAATTGTCTCATGATATAATCGAAATTGCTAATTATTGATTATATCGATATATAACTTGATAATCATTCATAATTAACATAGCAAAAATGTTGTAAATATCGTGTTTGAATAATCGGCTATTAATGATAGGCTGATTCGATAAGACAGTAAAAAACGAAAAAATTAATAAGGCATTCAAAGATTAATTTTCTCAGATAAATAAAGATAATATATAATAATTGAAGTATGTTCATGAATATTCTTTTACGTATGTGAATTTCTTTTTTTAGTACCACAAACACCTATTCGTCCATATAGGAGGTTCCGCGACATACGCCGATCCGCTATTGGAAGCGGTCGATGTTAAACAGATATATGACAAATTTCCGGAAAAGAAGGGCGGTCTTAAAGAACTATACGATAAAGGACCGCAAGCAGCTTTCTTCCTCGTTAAGTTTTGGGCTGATCTCAATAGTAACATCCAAGACGAAAGTGGAGTATTTTATGGCGTCACGAGCCAGTGAGTAATGTCAGCTTCTTGATTACTCAACTCTAGTTTGATAT